AAAATGTTAATATCTAATAGAGATTAGGTAATTAGAGGTAAAATCTCTAATAAGTATGAAGAGGGTTTAATCTAGCCCATTACTGTAACTAAGCCATCAACAATAACAGGAAAGAATGACGTAAAGGACTCAGCTCACTAAGAGCCATCTTCACATGCTGAGGAACATAACTTGGATCTTATGGTAACTCTGTCACCTTATTTACAAAATGATTGAGAAATACATTACAGTCATCCTGGGATTATTCTTGTCAGAATTAGATTGAGATTGCTGAAATAAAAAGATCCAGTCCCTTTCACTGCTTCATTATAATAGTGGAGAGGATCTTTCAAATAAAGAAGAGGATCAAACGTTCATCTCTGAAATAACAGTCATCAATTGAATGCGAGATCCTAATACAAACACGTTAAAATGAACATTAAAAGAGTGACTTATGGTCACCAAAAGCAACTTCATTTATGTGCAGACTGCCAACTCAACACCATAAGCTATGTCCAAGGTGCATTTTTGCGAGGATAGTGGGACCAGATACATGTTGACCAAAGAGCACATGACACTCATTAACTTAGTGGTACTGTCTGATCAACCATCAGCATTAATGGTCAAGTCCTCAACTTACTGCAGTTTGATGGAAACTGTGAAAATATTATTTAGCATTGAAAAACAAGCTGATTTTTGCTTGTATATCTCATCAGTTATAGTTCTGACAAATTGTCTTTTCTTGCATACAAAAAGTGACACAAACTTGTTTTAATCTTATGTTTAAGTGTGTCAGTTTCAAGTAAGACCTCCAGTGTTACTAGATTGGAAGATGAATTTTGTGCCTGTGATCAGTGTTCCTTATTTACACTATGAAAGATAGTTTTTCTGCTACTTTTGAAAAAAAAAAAAAATCCATAAAGGAGTATGAAACTCTTCAAGCATCATGTCTGCAGTTTTCCCTGCAGTGGCTGATGAGGTGATTTTTAAGTTTTTCTCAGTTCCACTTGCTAGATGGATTTCTTCAGCCCAAGCAGAGTGAGCTCATACCTTTAGAGAAACAAGTGTGAAATATTCACATGACTATATCTAAAAACAAATAATCAGCCACACATTGTTTTACATTAGAGTCCATGTCCATGACTTGCAATCAACAAAGAAACCAGCACCAGTTTGTATTTGGTGCTGAAAGTGGTTATTTTGGCGAAAACCCAGAAACAAGGAAATAGTGCCCTTTATAAGATGCTTCATACTGGCACTCAACTTTGTGTTCCATTCAGAGTAAAACAACAGAATTTATTCACATTTTGTTTGCAGCTAGAGTGTCACACAAGTAAAAAAAAAAAACTCTGCTGCACAGCTTGATCTTACCATGCTGTGACGCCTTTGACCAGATCCATCTGTGAGAGATCTATTATTACCTGTAGAATATGACAAAATGTCTTTTACTTATCCAAAATAAGCTGAATTAAATGTAACAACCCACATATGTATGTATAGATAGATAACAAATAGATTAAACTGCTTTTTAAAGCTTGTATCAGAAAAAATGAGTTGTTTATATTAAATACAAATTATATTTCTTACAATTTTAATGACACCAATACTGATTATATCTTAATATGTTTTTAAAAAATTAAGATTAGTTTTATCAGAAGCATATATCACTCTAATTACTATAAAAATGTTTATTTACAAATAGGAATATTCCTCAGTGTATAGTTTTATTATTTTTAAGGTATCAATGCCGTTTACCCTGACGTAGCATAACATACCGAGCCAATGTCCTTTCTCTCTGTGGAGACCAACATCTTGTTACTTTTCACAGACATATACAACTTCCTAGTTTGTGCTTCCCTGAGTGTCACATCAAACTGAAACCTGTTGTAAATGCTGTTAAAATGTTCTGTGTAGATTTCATGATGTAGATGACTGATTTATAATAAGTTACATAATTTCATGAATATATATAGTTTGTGTTGAAATTTCTTTATTCGAAATGTACAT